TGACATGATGTCATCCCACAGTTGCCGCAGATTTGTCATCCCAAAGATGCTCTATTGGATTGAGATCTGGTGACTGTGGAGGCCATTTGAGTGCAGTGAACTCATTGTCATGTTCAAGAAACCAGTCTGAGATGATTCCAGCTTTATGACATAGCGCATTATCCTGCTAAAAGTAGCCGTCAGAAGTTGGGTACATTGTGGTCATAAAGGGATGGACATGGTCAGCAACAATACTCAGGTAGGCTGTGGCGTTGCAACGATGCTCAATTGGTACCAAGGGGCCCAAAGAGTGCCAAGAAAATATTCCCCACACCATGACACCACCACCACCAGCCTGAACCGTTGATACAAGACAGGATGGATCCATGCTTTCATGTTGTAGACGCCAAATTCTGACCCTACCATCCGAATGTCGCAGCAGAAATCGAGACTCATCAGACCAGGCAACGTTTTTTCAATCTTCTATTGTCCAATTTCGATGAGCTTGTGCAAATTGTAGCCTCAGTTTCCTGTTCTTAGCTGAAAGGAGTGGCACCCGGTGTGGTCTTCTGCTGCTGTAGCCCATCTGCCTCAAAGTTCGACGTACTGTGCGTTCAGAGATGCTCTTCTGCCCACCTTGGTTGTAACGGTGGTTATTTGAGTCACTGTTGCCCTTCTATCAGCTGGAACCAGTCTGGCCATTCTCCTCTGACCTCTGGCATCAACAAGGCATTTCCACCCACAGAACTGCCGCTCACTGGATGTTTTTTATTTTTCGGACCATTCTCTGTAAACCCTAGAGATGGTTGTGCGTGAAAATCCCAGTAGATCAGCAGTTTCTGAAATACTCAGACCAGCCCTTCTGGCACCAACAATCATGCCACGTTAAAGTCACTCAAATCACCTTTCTTCCCCATACTGATGCTCGGTTTGAACTGCAGGAGATTTTCTTGACCATGTCTACATGCCTAAATGCACTGAGTTGCCGCCATGTGATTGGCTGCTTAGAAATTAGGTGTTAACGAGCAGTTGGACAGGTGTACCTTATAAAGTGGCCGGTGAGTGTACTTTGGAGGTATACAATCCTTAATTTCATGTTTTGTTACATAATACAGGTCCAGACCACAAAAACATATCCTCCCCAAACACAAAACGTAATTTAGACGTTTTTTTTTTTGGCAAAAGCTGGTCGCTCCGTCATAGTTTTGATCCAGAAATAGTTATTACAAATTTGGTCGATCTGATTTGGTCCCACTTTAATCTAAAAATAAATGTTGAAAAGATGTTGCAGAGCCAGTTTTCAGTCTTTTCAACAATCTGAAAATTATAGCTTTTCACCTTGTTGACATTGTTTGGATGTAAGTCTTGTCTTTTCAATGTCTTTCCAACCAGTTTTTGCTTGGTAGGATGATTAGACTGATACCAAGTGAACCATGAAGCTGATATGTGTTTTTGCAATAGCATACAGTAGTGAGATTGTTACCTTGGCATTAGGGCGGCAGCCAGACGATGTGTCAGAATCCAGGGAGTAGCTATTGAAGATGTCATTCACTTCATAACTTAAGACACTCCTGCTTTTTGACTTGTCTTTACTTCCAAGTCTAAGCTTAGATTATTTAAATCTTGTGAAGATTTACCAACGATTAGAGATCCAATTCTGCAATTTAATTCCTTGTTCAGAGTAAACAAAGATGTCTTTAAATGGCTTTACATTAATACATCGATGAATAATAGAATCAATCACTGCAGCAAGACCAATACATAAATTGCACTATGATTATTATAGCAACATAATACTTTCCCAATTTGAAGCGAATATTACTTAAATTGTAATGAGGTAAGAACCAGTTGAAAAAAAACATAGAAAGAGACATTTTTACTCAAAGCTCACCTCTTGCCTTCTGTTGATTTCAAATATTATTAATCTTTCAAGGGGAAAATAACTCTTAGCCATCTACATCAGGATATAAACTGTGTTTAAATTGTGTCACTTTAGACATAATACTAGAACTAGATCTGACCTAATGACATGCTGATGCTCCATCAAACATGAGTAATGCTTAAAAAACTGAACTAATATGAAAAAAAAAAAGTTTTCATGAGTGCTCTGGGACTTAAAGGCCTTTAAGGCTTTGCTTTCCTAGTGTTGTGCCGTGATACAATGAAAGTAGACAGAGCTATTTATTCTCTCATTGCTGCTGTTATGCCAATGAAATTTCTTGTCAGATCTAGAGTCACCACGACTGAAGTTAGCTAAAGTGATCATATTAGGTTTTTGCATTGTCACCCTTTAGATGCTGCTATCAGCTCAGTGTGAGTTTATATTTTTGTTTGCACTGTTGCGCTGTCTAAAACATGAATACATAGAGTACTTTAGCTTCTTTAAAGTCCAGCCATTTTCATAATCTCTGTAAAAAGGAGATTAGCAATGTACTATATACAATCTATTCAAGTAGTGAGTCCCTTCTTTAAGTCTGTGCATCTTGTACAGGAATAGCCTCTTGTAGATGCACTCAATACAAATACATCTATTACTTAGTGGTAAAACTAGACTGAAGTGCAGTAGGATTCTATAAAATATGTTTTTTGGTACCGTTTCCTGGGCAAGCATTACTGGAGTTGCAAATTTTATTTTCAAATTAATGCATGAGCCAATCAGCTTTGGTTACCATTTGAAATATTGCAAAATGCCACCTTTTTAATACTCCTCTTTCTCTGTTACCTATCATTCATATTAGTTGAAGGACACTGAGCAGATGGAGCATAAACCATATACTGATGTTAAAAGGGTAAAGAAAGAATATACAGTTTGATATGTGCATCTGTGAGAACAGAACAGTAAAGTAAACGATTAATTTTCTTTAGTTAAATCCGGCTGAACAGGTGCAGTGGCGTCTGAGGTAAATAAGTGAGATTAATTTTCTGTTTATAAAAAAGCCTCAAGCTATTTATTTATTTATTTTTTACCTAGGTAAGTTATTTATGAATTATATACCTGATTATTTCATATTTTTCTCTATTTTTTGAATCTCAAAAAAGACTTTCTAGTTAAACAGTTTTACCAGATTATCTGGAAAAGGTTTAGCCTCATTTAATGACAAAATAATTTTATTATTCTACTCACTGAAGGTATATCTCATTTCACCAAAATGTTAAACAGATTAAGCCAATTCATTCTTAATACCGAAATTCCATTTTTTAAATTTTTTTTTATTAAAGTCCTTTAAAGTTGGCATTAAAAACATTCTAAAACTTTCTTTTCAGAGTTTTGCTCAATATTGTGTTCAGAAATTAGGTCTAAATATGTTGAAGTGAAATTACACATTTTAAAGCATTTTAAAATATTACATAGGTTATATTGGAGTACACTTACTTAAAACAGATTGGAATGTTGAAGCCTTTTTCATTTGACTCCACCCAGATCTTTAGAAAGCATGTGATCAAAGAAGCTGTTGTTCGTTGCATGAGCTCCAACTTTCTAGGACAGTCATTTAAAGCTGTGTTTGTTTGTTTTTTATTTGAGCCAGCAAGGATACATTTTTAGAAAAAGGAAGATGTGCAAAGAGTAAGAAGTCTTAGGAATCTGTTTGTTTTTGTTTGATTTGATAAAATTTGAGATGAAAGTATCTTGATCCCTCCATCACCAAGAGGAAACCTTTCAAAGGGTCAGTGCGAGTGCTACTCGAGCATAAAGGCAATGACTCCATAACAACCTGATATGAAGCATCTGAATGCTTTTCTAACAGCAAAGTTGAATTTTATTAGTAACCTCTAATGAGGTTTATTTGCATTTAGATATTTGACACCCAAGTTTCCTTCTTCCAGTTCAAATATGGATGTTACATCCATCGTAAGATTGTGGACACAATTGCAGAAATTACTCAGGAACACAGAACGAAAAGATGGAGGTGTCATAACAACAGAAAACTATTATAAAACAGGTGATCCAGAATCCCTCAAAAGCAGTGACTGTGGAGACGATGAAACAATATTCATGGATTCCATAAGAATGAGGTGGGTGTGGTTCTGTGTTCAGAAAGAATGAACTTGGCAGAGTGCAACTGTGTGAGGACTTAAAGGAGCTTTGGATCTTTTTTCTAGGAGAAGTAGAACCAAGCGTTTGAGAGAGGGCAGGCTTTCAAGATCAGTTATGTGTAGAGCTGCTGAGTGTAATTGTGGAGCATGTCATTTTAACTTTGAGCATGAAGAACTTTATTAGGACTGCAGTCATTTGTGAGATCTACTGGTAGATTTCTGCTTTGCAGGGAGAAATCCATCTTCCTCCATGAACACAGACACATGCATGAGGTAAAATAATGACAGTGAAACCTTGAAAAATGTTGAATAGATATACAAATATCCAAAGACTTTTATGACTGTTTTATAGTTAACAGTAATATTGCTTTCAAATGAGTTTACTTTCTGCAGTAGAGCATAATGACATCAATGCTTAAACAAAAACTCATTACATAATTTATTACTCTATTTAGAAGAGACAGTAGGGTTTGTCTGCTCTGCCTCATGGTGCCTTGAGTGTTGTAGAGAAGTGCAAGGTGCTTTGTGTTAAAACCACTCAAAGGATTTCAACAGGCAAGAGCCTGAACACCAGTTCAGCTCTGTTACTGCTGTGCCTCTTATTACCCTGATCACTGTGAAATATGAAAGAAATAGTACTAGGAGCTGCAAATGCAATAAGTTATTTACAACATTTCAATTTCATCAAAAGTTCTCAGATGTATATTACTTAAAGTTATCAGGCTACTTTGGTACAGAAAAGATCCCAACACCTATGGGCTTCTTTGTACCTTAAGCCTTCTGTTATCTGTTTTGATTAATCTTTTACGTGTGAAACTGTTGAATTCAGGATGTCTGAACCAGGTTTTCTTTTTATCATAAATATTTTATGACCTAATTAGAAAACTCAATTATACTTCAAATCCTTAAAGTTTTTAGATACAGAATAAATTAAGTACAGTGTGATGCAGTCTTCACTTATTTCGTACTGGTTTTCTCTGTCACAGCTCCCCCAATGATCCGACTCTCGGTAAATGACAGCGTGGTGGTTGATCCTGGACAAGATGTGGTCATGACCTGTGAGGTGACTGCAGGTTTACCCCCACCCACAGTCACATGGTCACGTTATCCCGGACCCCTTCCCCTCAGTGCTCTGGTTCGGGGGCCGACACTAGTTTTACGTGCAGTCACACCAGCGGATGCAGGTTTCTACAACTGTACAGCAACTAACAATGTGGGAAACCCTGCTCGCAAGAACATCAACCTTGTTGTCAGGAGTAAGTAAATGTTTTTTTTTTTCCCTCATGTGGATAATAAAGACAATGCTCAGTGGATTTATTATTGAATCTTGGGGTATTCACGTAGATAACACTAACTATTACTTAGAACTATTGCATCGGCTATAAAATATTTTGTTGAATTCAAAATTAGGGTTTTACAGTTAAAAACTAATCAGTTTTCAGTAAACAGATTTTTGTCATAGCTTTTGAAACATTCAAAAACAAAGGACAAGAAGGTCATTTGACAGTAATTACTCAGATTTTAAACATGCTCTCATTGGTTATTCACAATTTTTACCCTCTTCATGATGTTCATGGTCACAGAGGGCTAAAGTCAATCAAAATATTTCATAGGCATGTGAAAGGGTACAGAATACAGGTTACCATTCAATCCCAAGGACAAAGACAAGGAAACAGACAAACAACCACGATTTTTAAAGATACTTTTATTCAACATTACTTGGAATGGAACTAGGTAGGGTATTTTACCATTTTTAAATTATGATTTTAAATATATTTTTGGCAGAAAAAAAAACTATAAATAAGTACTGACAGGCAGACCTTAGATTGGTAAATACATCTTATCTTTTTTACCATAAGATAATTTAAAAGCACTGTCACCATAAATGATTACACACACATCAGGCCTTTTCCTCATCAATGTGGTTTTTTCTAAGAAGCTCCTTGCAAAAATGTCATAGTTTCTACAAGTTTCTTTATAAAAAATATATTATTTTATACCACCACCTACAGACAGTGTAAACATTTATCAAAAAGCAGCAAAAAAGGAAAGCAATGTGCATGTGTTTAATTTTACTGTGTTAGGTTAGAGTTTAGGTAATGGAATAACTTTTCACAATAGTTTTATATCACATATGAAAATTCAAAGAAAACAGCATTTGCAAAGCTAATGTTTATTAAGCATGTAGGTAGAAACCCTCTACTGAAATTGGCTCCACACTTTAAAGTTTACAATTTCTTTATTTTTTTTTGGGTGGGGAGATGATATTCTTTAAGACAGAGGTCCCAAACACGTTTGTCTATGCAAATATTAAGAACAGGTGTTATTTCAGGAGAGATGGATTAAAAAGGTCCAAGACCAATGCATTTTGGCAATCAAACACTGCCTTTTGCCACTGGTTGCCAAATGTATTTTTATATATATTTCTTCTAAAAACTCCATTAAACTTATTAAATGTAAAACTACAGTTTCTATGGCCAAATACAGTTTGTCCCTGTCTTTATTTTTCTTTCTGTTGTTTAATCCTCATGAGAGAAAGAAAAATAGGTTATTATACAATATAAAAAAAAACAGTCTTTTTTCTATTAATACAGTAATTCCCACACTGCTACCTGTAATAATAACAATGATAATACTGAGTACCTAAAGTTGGAAAAGTTTCATTTACGAGAAATAGATTTAAAAAAAGATATTACCTTTCTGGTTACTGTAGCTTATCGACTGACAGTAATTTGGGACTGTATTAATGAGGAAGTCTGTGTGTGCTGTAAGCAGTTAATCCATCATTACAGTGAGCTGATGCGGATCTTTTCAGAGTGGGTGGGTTAAGTATTGCTCTTTTTGTAATTTCCCTGTCATTAAAGCAGAAATCTTCCATTCGTCCTCCCCTCTGGCTATTTTTGGTGCCTTTAATCATCTTTATTCACTCCAATTAGTTAGACTGGAGTGGAAGCAATTAGTGACAGTCTCTTCTGTTAGTTAACACAGTGAAGAACGTATGCCAAATACATTTCTCCTGTTAGTTTAATGGGTCTGAAAGCTTCTTCACACCAGTACAGGTGGAAAAAGTTGGTAGGTGACATGCAGATTGATGCACATGCAGCTGTGATTCCATGACTTCACAGGGAAATTAATTACTTCCTCAACATTTACTGTAACCTTAATGTACTCAATTGCTTTGAGCAGAAGTAGAATTAATTTACAAACAAAATCATTGTCTTTCATAAAATAAATATAATATAAAGTCAATTAAAATAGATATATTCACAACATGTAGAGATCACTAAGCATAGATGCAAACAGATACCATTTACAACAATCTGATAATTTAAACAGTCTATATATCTTGTTATGGAGCTCTGCACACCTCTTCAACGTCTGCTATCCCGTTTAGTAGGGAAACAGAGAGCTGTTTTGCATTCAACATGGAAATCAGTTGGGAAAACACAGCCTTTGAAACTGAAAATTAAATGTGACAGTGTGAGTTACTCTTTGTCCTTGATTTTGTTTCCCCCCTCCCCTTTATCCCCATGTTATTTTATTCTGAATCTTTCCTCCTTCTTTGCGCTCCTTCACAATTTGCCTCTTCCTCTTTTTTATCTCTTTTAATCCCATCTCTAATTTCCTTTTTTCTTCTAGTTTCTTTTTTTCATTCTTCCCTTCTTTACATTTTATTACTCACCATGTAGACTTATTCATTATTTTGTGTTAGCCACCTTTCTACTCCTTATAGCTTTTTCATAAACTTACTTGCTTTGAATCTTTGTGTGCTTCATTTGCAAACTTTGGCATAAGTATCCTAATATTTCTTTGTATGCCTCCATTCTCTTTGTCAGTTATTAATTTTTTTCCCCTAAACAACTGTCTAAATACACTTCTAACAAGGCAATTACACTCATTACAGGCTGCCAAGGCTAGGGCTGAATTGTTCAGATCGAGGCATAATAATGTGTAAAAATGTCCCAGACCTGAATAAGATTGAGAACCTGATGATTCTGAGGTTTAAGATATTTGCAATTAATGTGATAATTTTCCAGATGCTTAAGGTTAGTAGAGACATACCCTCAATTATTTGCAAGAGTAAATGTGGAAACAGGTGGTTATACAGAGTACTGATTTATTTTGGCTGAATTCATATGCAAGAAAAAATTCTCAAAATATCTTGTGAAAATGTTTGTTAATGTTATATTACCAACTTTGACATCAACAAAGTGTTTCGACAGAGCTGAGTGTCAAAAGCAGTATGCACATCTATGAACATAATGGATTGATTAGCTGAGCAGCAAAGGCAAATAGAATCCAGCATGCAAACAAACACTTTTTAAGTATAAAAAAAACTGCACCCTTATAATGTCATGTGGGATTTAGAATGTATTATTTTATTGTGTTTTAAAGTTAACAGTTAATCCCTGTGAAAAAAAAACCACAGGATACCTTTCTCTTATGAAGGTCAAACCTTTGATGACAAAAACTGTTAAAACTTTGGATAGAGAGGACAGATGGTTTGAAAGTTATCACTGAGCAGAGGGAGATAATTGCAGTTTTACGGTTCCAAGCATCTACAACTCGGTCCTTGAACTCATTCCAAACAAATCACACAAGCACATTCATTACGATTCAAAGGGCCAAAGACATAAGCCATACAAAAACGAGACTTCAGCAACCCAGGAGAAGGATGGATGGAGAAATTGTATGGGACTTGGAATGCGCTTAGGAGGATGGGCCTCCTTGTTGCTTAAAGCAGAAAAGCTCCAACTAAAGATTGCTCTGGTGTAAAATGACAGGATTAACAAAGACTCCTGGATAGGTGTTAAAAAGTCTTGGCTTTGATAACATTAAAGTAAGTGCTCTCAATTTACAAGGTTTATATATGATACTCCATATCTGATAACATTGTTCATTCTAATCGTGTATTTAGGCTCCCTAATCTGAATTACAGTTAATGCTGTAAATATTCTTTAATTTCTCACACTAAAGAAGGTAAAAAAACAAAAAAAATGAAATTCACATCCTCCATTTGTAACAAGCAGAAATTAAAGGCATTTTTGTTAAACATCTATCCTTATTTTGATATATTATCACTTTTTCATAACCTTCCTTCTCTCCTCTTCTGAATGTCCTTTCTGCTACACACAGCAATGAGCAACCTGACTTTTCAAATCACACCGGATTCAAACAAGGACAGTGAGACCATCCAAATGGGTCGGGACCTGAAACTGTCATGTCATGTCGACGCCACCCCACAGGACAAAATCAACTACACCTGGTACAAGAATGGGGTCCCTGTCTTTAACTCTGATAGCCTGATATTGCTGCGCAGTGACCCTGACATGGCCCCCGGCACAAGTAGTTTGGAGATTGTAGACATGAAGTTCAGAGACCTGGCCATGTACAGCTGTGTGGCAAACTTCCCAGGCAGCAGGGTGCCAGAGCTGCGAGTGGATGTCAACATCTCCCAAAACAGTGGTATAGTTTTTCTACTTTTCTTTGATGTTTGATATAAAACTAGTTTGAACATACAGGATGAAACTGTAGTTTAAGTCATATGATTTTTAAGTCACATCTACCTCCCGAAAATTTGAAGCAGACATAAAGCTTGTCTTATTTCATATGCAATAATTCCTTTTCATCCAATGAAAGGTGAAAATGAAATGGATCTCTTCACAACCTTTGACAAATGTTATTTTTCGCAATTAGCCAAAACACATCCCTGTGATGATTTTGAACTGAACCTGACATTTTAATGTTTTATAAAATTCCATGTTTGTTTTCTTGCAGTCACTCCACCGATACTATCAGTTCCATCAGGAGGTCAAGTTGTAAGTGTGCGTGAAGGAGGGAATGCCGAGTTGGTTTGTCAGGTTGATGGGAAACCCCGTCCTCCAATACTGTGGTCAAGGACAGAGAAGGATTTACTTATGCCGTCAGGAACGCCCACGGTGGAGACGACTGATGGCCGCTTGAGGCTGAGGAACGTCAGCCGGGACATGATGGGGCTGTATCGCTGTCAGACTGCGCCATACAACGGCCTTAACATTAAGCGGAGAGAGGCCCAGGTCCAGCTGAATGTGCAATGTAAGTATGGATAGAATCATCATAACAGCCTACAACAGCACTCCTCAAGCAAGAGTAACACATGACAAAAAAACTGGCCATAGTCATTTATTTAGACATGGGTTTATTGATTTATTTTACAACACATGGTAAGGTGTTAGGGTTAAGCAACTACTCTCTTTAGAGGTCTATCTTAGTGAATAAGAATTAGATATATACTTTTTACTTTTTCTTTAATTCAATTAAAAAAGTGAAAGTTATTAATTAAATAGACTCCCTACACATGGGTCCTGAGGACGGTTTCAAAAAAAGCGGGATTATTGAAAACTCTGTTTTTTAAAACCAAAACTCAGGGAAACTTGAGTTTTCCATTTCAATTTATTCATTTATATAGCGCCAATTAACAACACATTTTATCTCAACTCACTTTATAATTCAACCAGATCATATAGTCAAATTGATTCAAAGTTTTCTATCAAAGAAAAATCAATTGATTGCATCGACTCATTGACTCAAAGGCAATCCCTCACACCAAGCATGCTTGTAGCGGTAATGGGGAGGAAAAACTCCCTTCGAACAGTAAGAAACCTCCAGCAGAACCAGACATAGTTTGAGCGGCCATCTGCTGAGACCCGCTGGGGTTCAAGGAGACAGAAGCAGAGATACAGAAACTGTTTACCTTACCTCTGTTTCTGTTACCGTAATAACATTCTCCTTAGAGCTAGTCTGGTCAGGAGCAGGTTTTTCTCCATAAACTCAATTTCTCCGCCATCTTTAACACTAGAACTACCAAAGCTGTCATTTTGACGGTTCTGAGATTTATCCTATGTTGATCATGTTAACTGACTTTTCCTGTTTCTATATTTCCTTCATTTTCATGTAGTTTGTATTTAATAAAATAAAAATGTAAAAAATAAATATGTTTAATTTTACCTTGATCTCGAACAGCCATCATATTGACGGCTCTATTGGTTGCATTATAAAGTCTTATCACGGTTGATTGATGTTCGGGACCGTTGTCTAGCAACCAACATTCTACCCAGAACTCTTTGGCTCATTTGGAAAAATGGCTTTCAAAAGAAATCTAACAGCACAACAGGCTTTGGAAATGCTTCAAAATTTGATGATAGCAATTCGGGAAGGAGAGACCGATGAGGACAACTGGGTAGGAAGCGGCTCAGATTCTGACAGCGAGTCTGAGAATGATCAACCATCCCCGGCAAAATGCAGACTTATCAGTGACCCATCAGGCAATGGTGAAACTTTTGTTAAAGGTTTGAATAGCACTGCCCACACCTCAGCCTGTACAGTTAGTGGCCTAAAAGCCAAACCAGAGCCCCTGGTCTACTGTAATCACACAAAGGTTGGCATGGATGTGTTGGATCAGATGATTAGAAAGTATTCTGTAAAAGCTCCAATGCGAAGGTGGCTTGTGTTGTTTCCTGGACAGGGCCGCATTTTACAGCTGCTTTTTGTAGCTCTGCTTCTGTCTCTTCGAACCCCAGTCAGCCTCGGCAGATGGCTGCTCACACTGAGCCTGGTTCTGCTGGAGGTTTCTCCCTGTTAAAAGGGAGGTTTTTCCTCTCCACTGTCGCTACAAGCATGCTTAGTGTGAGGGATTGAAATTGACTCAATGAGTTAATGCAATCAACTGGTTTTCCTTAGATAGAGGACTTTGAATCACTTTGACTGTATGATCTGGTTGAACTGTAAAGTGTGTTGTGAATTGGCGCTATGTAAATAAACTGAATTGAATTGTGGCTGTATTTTACGATCTCATAGACATAGCAGCTATGAACGCATTGGTTTTGTTTAGGAGCTGTTTGAACATCACCGTCTCATGTAGAGATTTTATCTTTGAACTGGTAAAACAGTTGCGTGCCAACCACATGTACTCCAGAGAGCCGCAGGCTACCAGCCCCTTCGCTGAAGAGCAGCTTTGGCGAGGCAAAGAAAACTGTGCCAGGAGCCTCAGTGGTGCACAAAAAATAGGCTCATATGATGTTTGTCATAAATGTGAAAAGTCTGTCTGGGGGAAATGTTCAGAGGTAATCAATCAATTTCTGTAAATAAAATTGTAATTTCAAACCTGTCTTATATATTTTACTGATTTATTTTAATAATTATATCCAATTAAAGTGCGGTATTTATTTACAGAGAAGTAATATTTTACCTGATGAAAAAAAAGAGAATGCATTCTCTTCCCCTCTCTCCTCTGCACAAAGTATTTAGAAAGCTTACTAATCGTGGCAGGGGGCAGGGACAACACTGTGAGCACTGCTGTCCTCACTGGGCTCACTCTGATTAATGGAGCAGGTGGCCACCCCACTTTGGATGGAGAAAGAGAAACAGAGCAAAGAGACAGATACATGAACACGTCTTTGGGTGAAAGCTTGGGGTTAAGAGAGGGATTACATCAACAAAGCACAAAGAAAGGATGTGAAGGGGGATAGCAAAGGGAGGGCTCAAACCAAGCTAAATGAGAACAAATTTTTATGGCTACAGCAATCTGGATGCAGAAAACTAGATAATTTTTCCTAATTCCAATATGACCTGTTTTAATCCCAGCCGTATTTCACATATGTTTTAATTTTATTGTCTTTCTCTCTTATTCTATTTATTGTTGGAGATCAATGTACATAAAGAAAAAAAAAATCATAATTTAGTGTTGCAGATATATTAAAACAGGTTAGCTAATATTGCCTGTCCCACTTTGGTCTTTACCTCCTCCCTTTTTTTCCTTTTTCGCTGTTTTTCCCTCCATTTTCCCAAGAGAAGTCGATGCTCTTCCTCGTTGCCACTCTCATCATCATCAATCAGCCAACTGTTGGCCAGAAGAGAAGCACTCTCTCTGTCTTGCCATTCTCTTTCTGCATCCTGCATCCTCTTATTCGCTCAGTACCTCCCATAATCAATCACTAACTTTTTCACATCACATTCTCTCAGTCATTTATCTTCTTCTGTGCCTTTATTTAAGAGCAGCTTTTCTCTTAACTCACAACAACTAACTCCCCCGACACGCAAAGACACCTGGTCCTCCTTACCAGTTTTTCCTGTAAATGGACTTATGGGTTTGATGAGGGTTGCATTCTAGGATGGAATCCATATTGTATTCAATAACCCAGATAGCAATGGTGTTGTTGCATATATTACAGCGTTCTGACAATGAAACCTGGAAGTACAGTAACGTCAGCCACACACAACGCTAAAATAAATGGAAAATAAGACTCGGGAGAATTTCCAGTCAAGTCAAAAAGATATTCCCCTCGAGCTTGAAAAGTATTTTGTTCTGCCAGGAAACTATTGCAATTATTGCAGAGCACACATACAGTTACAGTAGGTAAAACATTCCAATAATAATGACCACCAGCCAGAAGTAGTGGAATTATTTATAAACTGCTTGAAAACAAGCTAATACCTCACCTTCCATTATTCTCAAACCTTCTTTCCTGGTCCATCACAGTTCGGCTGTTGCTATTGTTATGCATGGCATATAGGTTCAATGATTACCTGTAGAACTTTTAAAACATCTGTAAGAAGAGATTAAAGTCTAGCTTTCAGCTGTATGAATGCAGTAAGAGATAATATGGAACATTAAACCTACCAATAAAAAGCTACTTAAGTTATAAGACTCTCTAGTTAACTTTTTTTTTTTTTAAAGAAGTTACATTTTAAATACTGTGTGGAGCCATCTCCCAGTTTAATTGTTGCAGTTCCTTTGAGATATTACACCCCTTCCTGACCATGAAACATAGTGATGGCTGCCTTATGCTGTGTGCATGTACTCTTCAGCAAGTACATGGCCGGCAGGAAGAAACATGGAGCTAAATACTGGGTAAATCTTGACTAAAAATTATTAGATTGCAGACTGTTAGACTCGAAAGAAGGTTTTCTTTAATGCAGTATCTTTTATCAATCATATAGATGTGCTATATTACCTATGTTAAGAAGCAAAGACACTAAAACTCAAATAGGTTTTATTGATATAGCTCTAATTCAAAACACGTTCACCTTGAATCAATGAAATTATGTACACAGATTGATAAAGAAGTTTTTAAATATAAGGAAACCTGTTGCGTCATTGACCTGCAGAATTCAGTCCTCCAGGATAAGCATGCAGTGACATTGAATATCCACTCGCATTGTGTTACTGGCTTTGCAGCAATGCCTCTCACTGGACATGCATGTCGTGACAGTGGAGAGGAAAATCTCTCTTAATAGGAAGAAACCTATAGCAGAAACAAAGCAACAAAGCTCAGGCTTATTCCGCTTGAGTAAAGGATTTACAAGTTTTAAAAGCTCTCACCAACTTTCCTGTGCCTGAAAATTTTTTTGTAATTTTTTAAATATGAACATTTGAAGAATAATTTTGTCACCATCACATCTCATCAGGGAAATGGACAAGACTACAACTTTGACAAACTTGATGTTTTGCATCAGAAAATGTGGTTTTGAACCTCAAAATCCCTTTTTTTTTACCATTGTGTTTTGTTATTCCTACTGTTCCATGCAGGTATGATTTGTTAGTGATATTACAAATAATACCGGCCCGGGGTCTTTCTGCATGGAGTTTGCATGCGTGGGTCCTCTCCGGATAGTCCGGCTTCCTCCCACAGTCCAAAAACATGACTTGTAGGTTAATTGACTTGTCTAAATTCTCCTTAGGTGTGAGTTTGTGCATGAATGGTTGTTTTTCCTGTTTGTGTTGCGCTGCGATGGATTGGCGACCTGTCCAGGGTGTACCCCGCCTCTCGCCCATTGACTGCTGGAGATAGGCACCGGTACCCCTCGCGACCCCACTCGGGACAAGCGTGTCAGATAATGGATGGATGAATCACAAATAATTTTCTTGTAAACAAATTATCCCACCTCCCACAATTTAGCAGATGGCCATTTCTTGCTCGGAGTTTATTTGTATACATTTTTAGATTATAAATTGAATATTTTTTCATGAGTTTTTCAAACTTGGGGCATTGCTTTATAGCCAAACTTTTCTTAACTTCTCCATAACTTTGTCCTGGACCTTACTGGCAGTTCCCTAGTCTTTATGATAGTACTTTTTATGCATAATTGTTTTCAAACAAATGTTTCAGGTGTTTTCTCAACAGCTACATTTATCCTCAGATTAAATAACATGCAGGTGTGCTATTATTATCCATTTCTAGATAAAAGAAATACATCACTTTGTATTTTTCTACCACATAAACTTCCAAAGAATTACTTAAAGGTTTGTGGTTTCAACATGAAAGAAATGTGAAGAAGTCAGCGGAGCATTTTTTTTTTCTACTTTTTTTTAAAGCAGTGTGTTTAAGGTTTCCAAGAGCTTATGGATATATGAACAGTATGTAACAATATTGATTGTGAAACTAAAAAGGTTGGGGGCTTTTTAACCTTCACTTCTACATGTGGAGACAATTGAACAAAAAGCAACAGGCAACACTGACACTGTGTTGAGAAAATTCTGGGGTGGTTTTCATTCTCCTTAGCATTCAGGTCCTCACTCATGTTCCTCAGACTGAAGTGCAAGCACAGAATGACAAACTGGTTTCAAACAGGAATTTGGTCAGCATGCATCCATTGGTCTCTAGCAGAGAACCAAAAAATCTGATATTTTACTCCAAATAAGCAATAGAAGCTGTGTAAATGAAAAACATACCAGTATTTTACAAATATGTTTTTAACTCACGTTTGACTTGTTTTGCTCTTATATTAAAAATAATAAGTTGAAATAAAACTGCAAACTTTGTCCATTTAAAAAAAGTTAATATTTTTTCATCAATTTCAAATGACATAAAACATGAATGGATAAAACAACTTCTAAATCAAACCTTTAATAAAAGAGGTTAGCAGACCATAAAAAATAAATTATCTGTTAGAAACATGAAAATTCTGTATAGGGAGTCAAAATGTTCCTCTTTATTCTGTACGCAGACAATGATGATAGCTTGAAACATTTTTTGACAAATCATTTGGTAAATTGGCAATAACACTGCATGACTGGATGTCACAGGATGAGTGCACTGTTTTAACAACACTATCCTGGTTGAACGTTGTGTAGTGCTTGACACTATACAGGGGTGACTGATTTTTATATTTTTAATTTTAATAAGATATTATCTGAAAAATTGTGATGTGTGTATTGTTTTTTTTAGCCAAAGTTGATGTTAAAAATTATCTTCAGACATCTGGTTACTGCTGTTCTGCGGGAAAGAAGTTGCCTAGCAATACAAATGTTTGGATTGGATCTAGCTTCTATGTTATATTTTGAGGACAAGGCACTTATCCCTCAAGTTCCCTACAAAAATCTGTGTCTGTCTATAAATGCGTATGCATTTGATAGTGTTTTATGGTTTATGTGGCTTTAGTGTAAGTGTGCCCTCATTGGTTGGTTTGACAAAGAAACAAAACCATGAATAAATTCAGTCTGTTTAGCGTGTACCAAGTGATTCCAACCGTGTGAAATTTAATTTTAGAATAAGTCCAGCTCTCCCCTGAAGATCTGAAACATATCGTATTGAACATTTGTTAACAATCACAACATGAAGCCCATGGAACACCGCAGATAGGTCAGAGATGATTCTGCATGAATATTTAAAGTAGGCTTATGTTATTGTGATCTGCTATATCAAATGCAGCACTGAGATCTAAAAGAATAAAAACAGACCCAAGTCCATTATCTTAGCCCATAAGAATCTCATTACTGTCTTAACACCAGTCAATAATGAAGAGTTGATTCTTTGAGTAACATGAATATTTGGTACATAAAAGAAATGTACCGTACAAAACAAGGTTAGAACATGTTTTTGACCTTCTATTTTGTAATCCTCCCTTATTTCTCCTGCTCACACTTCAGCTTGTTATGCATCTTTCTAAATTACCCACACACCATACATCAGAACATAATTACACTTCTGTGCGTGATAAGCATGATGCGTAAGGGACAACAGCGATGCTACCTCACCTCTGGGGGCCTCGGCACAAAATCTCATCACAGTTCATACTGTTGGAATACTATTTGTGTCCCGTCTATCTACATGATTAGCCATGGGGTGAACTAGCTGGTGTGTGATTTGTAGCAGAGTAATTTCACTGTGTTGTGTCTCTGCTGACCCCAGGGCAACAGTAGCAAGTCAGTCATTAACTGCAGAGCCACACATCACTTCTGACAGGTTAATAACTACCAGCTAGAACTGGTTAGCAGCAGGGATGGGATTGGATCTTTTAATGCTTGATCCCTTTAATAACAGTGAATTTCTTTGTTGGCTAATCTTTCAATATCTATGTTTGTAATGCCCTTCAAAAATACACAAAATAATAATAATACAAATATCAAGTAATTATAAGTAATTTGATAAACTGTGATCTTAAATTATATGTGGTTGTGTTGACTACACAGACCCTCCGATGCTGGATCCAGTCTTTCAGGATGTACGTTCAAGGAACTTTCAAATAGTGACCCTGAGATGTACCGTCCTGCGTTCCAACCCTCCCCGTCTGACAGACATCCGCTGGCTACGCAATGGCGAGTTCATCCGCATGTCCATGCCCGACCTGAAGCAGACACCTGAGCTGAAGTTTAAGCTCGAACCCACCAACAATGGCACGTATGAGTGCCGAGTCAGCAATAGTGCAGGGACATCAACATGTCGGTTTAACGTCTCTGGTAAGTGAAAAGAAAAAGTATTTTCAATATTTGTGCTTCTGTAATATACATGAATCTTTTTTATCTCTATCCTTTTTAAATTTCTCCCTGGCCTACAGCTCGACCATACAATGCAGAGTTTTATTTTGACACACCGAACCCAGTACGCATCCTGAAGGGAAACAATTATTCCTACAACTTGCAGTGGACACAAAGGGACCCCCAGGCCACAGACCGTATCATTGGCTACTGGCTAAACGTTCGAAAGGTAAAATACTGATCTTCTAGTAATACCTTTAAACAGTGAGAGGTGTTTTAGAGAGCTGTTCAAGAGCACACACAGTTGTGTCTGTACTCATATTGGCACATCTGTTTATGACCTGGATAATGGATTGACAAACCCACAGTAACTATCTTATTTTTCAAATGCTTTATGTTGACACCTGATAGCTAAAAACAAGATTAGAGAAAGGCTTTATTACGATATACATGGTTTGATGTAAGATACCTGTGCAAATTAGCTTGTTAAGGTAGATATTATTGGTGACAGAGAGAGGGCAAAGCAGTGCATGTAGTAATCTTGGCTGAGTGAGATCCAAGGTGTACAGGAGTCACAGAGAACAAGACTGAGATTGAGTTCAGGAATGCTCAAGGCAAAAAGAGACAAGGATATATAGGAATATATTTAACATAGGCAACCATGCGTTGGGGATTCTTTCTTCATATTCTACAGAAAAGCAACCACAGAGATGGTTAGAGAGCCTCTTGGGTAGGAAGGCTCGGTAAAGTTGGTCAGTATAATGCAAGATAAGCACTGACCTATGCTTGAAAAGGTGACCTTGAGTGGAAAATGTTATATCTGTTTTTGTCATGAATTTTAATACTAGGTAAACATGGGGCTTTATAGGGTTTAACAATGTCAAGCATTTAAGTTCATCAATAGACACTTCCTCTGAATAAACAAAGAACTGCTCCTTCTTAGTATTCTTAATTAAAAGGCCTCCCTAACCCTTTTTATTTTTGGTTTGTAACATTTATATGTTTTAAAACAAACTGCACAATTTTACAAAATATTATGAGCAGAATACAAAACTATAGAGTATGTAATGCCCGCGTCAAAAAGGACTTCTTATTTTGTGTACTAAGCAAGTGTTAATAACACGTTTTGAAGGACTTTAACCAGCATAATTTATTAGTCTTTTAGTGTAGGTCCTGTAGTTCTGAGTTCTTCAGAATTGTGGTTAATTTGAAGATCCCATGCTGATCATACTCGTTTAAAAAGATGAAGCTTGCACATTTATGTAATCTGGAAATTACATCTAAGCAAAATTGACTACACTTATTTGAGTCAACTCTTATTGTTCTAATATCTTCTTGAATTGTATTAAAGAAGTTGCAAAAGAAACAGAACGTTCTACGCATTGCCTTAATCCACAGCTGGGCTATTTGTGAATTTGATTGTTTGTTTTTTTTTTATTTGGAGGCTCAAAACGCCATGACTGCCTAAAGAAGGGAAAGGTCTTCTTACATTTTTTTTTTACAGTACATGGATCTAAATCCTAATGCATGAAGTTTTTATTCTAATGAAAGTACAGAAGAGGGAAATAATAAAAATGTCAAAAGTCAACAATCTAGAACCAAAAAAAAAAAAATGGTATTGCAGAAAATTATATTTATGAAAATATAAAAAGATATTTGTTCTTTTGATAATGTCTGGAATATGTGTCTTTACCCAACTATATTTCATTTCCATATCTATTTGCTTTTCTTTATTTGGAGGCCAGCAGTGGTATCCGAATAAACATGTTATAACAATAGCTTTTCTAAAAGGCCTGATTTATAACCATAGGACCTGATCTACTCCTATGTTCACAAAACAGTTCAGTGCCAACCGTAACACCATTAAAAAAAGAATATACACATGGTATTGTTGCTTGATCTTCACATTACGTAGAGAGAAATCAAATCGTTCCGTTTTTTCAAGTTTCACCTCTTTCTTTAATATACAGACATTACATAGTTGTGAGATTATTTATTTCCATAGTCATCTATATTACACTTAGATTCAGAAAGTAGTAGTGGAATAGTTTCAGTAAATTATTAATCCAATTCTGATTTTAACCCAGACATCCAAAAGACACATCCATTGATAAACTTTGATACAGTATTTAGTATAGTTGGTGTATTTGCGGATGATTTGTTTTCCCTATTTTTCCCTTCTCCATCTTTCTGCTGGGTTTTTGTTTTATTCTTCACCCAGGTCTCTTTTTCTGTTTCCAATAATAACGAAGCTAAGAAACTGTTACAGAAGTGTGTATTTCATGGCATTTCATATTTTATTTTCACTGCCATCAGAAATTGCACATTTGATATTGGATGAACTAAAGTCAACTTAAATTTAGCTATATATTTTTTTCTTTACCTGCACATATTTCTTTTTTTTTTTTTTTTTTTACCTGATAAGTACAGAATGTCCAGAACATAAAAGAAGTAATAGTGTAAAAGGACACAAGGGTGCAAAATGGAGAACTGCAATTCAAATTAAAGAATAACATGAAATCTCACACATCCTCTTGACTGCTAAGTACAGCAGTGGATCATCCAAATGTAATATCTCATTTTCACAACCTATCTCCACATTCCCTACATTTTTTATTTTTTTTTTTACAGTTCATCCTTTTGGCACCTTGACAGTCTATCTTCTCAGTACACAGAAAATGATGTAGGGTCCTCAGGGAAACACACAAACTTTGAGGAAAATACATCCGAGTACAAAATCAGCTAATCTTTTGCTGTACATTTGATCTTAAACATAGCTGCAACAGTTTTTCCTTTATCTGTATGCGCATGCTGATTCAGTTTATTTCTGATGTAAGATTCTGTACATTTATTCAGCTTTATGCCTTCCATTTTGAGGATTAACTTTAATTACCCACCAGTGAATTTACCAGAAGTCAGAGTATCTAAAGTATGTGTACATGAGTTAATGAATATATACTGAAGATATTCATGTTTTCATGAGAACATGTGAGTCTGCTTGGTACCTGGGGTTTGGGGTGCTGATGTCTCTGAGTAGGAATTAACTGCCTTGACAGGTCACCTTTCCTATCAAGTTGCCCCAACACCTAATTATTTTGCACCATAATCTTCACCTGAAGTAGCTTTGCAAATAGTAGCTTTTATCTCTAAGAGATCATTTTACCTGCCTTTTTAAAAAAAATTAGTCATGCAAAATTCTTGCTTATTACAGATTTTCCATACACAACACTCTAAAGTAGTAGATAACAGTAGGGTGGACAGAAAACAACTAGGTAAAATATTTTTTTGCACATTAGCAAGATACTTAACACCTTTTACTATTACAGCTTACCTATTGTGGCTTTTGCTGAATGATCCTTTTTTTGTTATTTAGATATTGCTCTTTTGACAATCCACTAACTAGTTGATAATGAGAGTAGAGGTTGTAGTATATCAACTATAATTCTTACCAGCTTGGTTAAAATTTACCTGTTATGGTAGCCATCTGTTCAAATAGCTAGAAATAGAAGTTATAGTAATTGATAGTGAAATAGTAAAACAGTAAAGTTACATTTGGTTTTACAGTGAAAAATTAACAATGACCCAGGAATGCATTAAACTGTGATGAAGCTGAAAGAGAACGGGTTAGCTTAGCTGGTCCCAGGACGTCTGGCTCTGACGGGTCCACCTGAAACAAAAGACAGATCTTTGCTTTTATTCTGTCTGGACATTATTGCTTTAATCCTGGAGATGTTCTTTAGGTGATAAAAGGCTGACTTAGTAATTGCTTTTATGTGCCTTATTTTAATGCAATTTTTCAATTGCTCTAACTTAAAACAAAAGACTGTAAAAAAAACAGATACTCAACGGAAAGTAAAAAATTGCAATAGTTTCAAAATAACAAATAACAGAGCCTTGCCATTTTTTACTTCCTGCAGCATTTTGAACTCCCCAGCATGAACTTATATTAATCAGTGGACAGCACACAGCAGTGGTCACACCTAAATATTTCCCAAACCCACAAATTATCTAAGTCTAACTCAGTCCTGCCACATGAAAACATTATGTTTAAGTTCTGATATTCAACTGCTGGTATTGAACTTGTCATCTTACTCAGAAGATGCAGGAAAGGGTAATGGGGGCAACAATCTTAGCAGAGACTTCCCTCTTCCCAGACACCTCCTTCACTTCTGCTGGGGTAAGGTCCAGCTGAAAAAGATGCTTGAGCTACCTTAGCCATCTCCTGACAATGTGGAAATGGAAAAGCAGCTCTACTCTGAGACTGTCCTGGATGATCCAAGCTCCTCACCCTATCTGTAATAGAGTCCCTAGCAACCTCGAAAATAAAATTATTTCAGCCGCTTGTATTCGGAACCTTGTTCTTCTGGTCATGATCCAGATTTAATGACAATACAATGGGTAAAATAAGTATTGAACACCACCATTTTTCTCAGTAAATATATTTCTAGAGGTGCTATTGACATGCCTTTTTCACAAGATCTTGGTAATACTCCATGCAATCCACATATACAAAGAAATCGAACAATATATATAAAGAAATTAAGTTATGTGTAATAATGTGGAATGGGAAAAGGCAAGGGAAAAAGTATTGAACATGTGAAGAAGAGTAGGTGCAAAAAAAAAAAAATACATGCAAAGCCAAGACACCACCCCAAATCTTTCAGTAATTAGAAAGCAATCCTTTCCCCTTTCAGTGCAAATTAATATCAGCTAGTTCAGTCCCAAATGATGGCCTATAAAAAGGTGTCTCTGGTATCACACAAAAAAACATCCTATGATGGGTAGAATTAAAGAGCTTTCTCAAGACCTTCACAACCCTGTTGTTGCAAATCATAATGATGGTATTGGTTACAAAAGGATTTCTAAACCTCTGAATGTTCCATTGATCACTTTTGGGGCCATATTCCAGAGGTGGAAAGAACATCATATTACCATAAACTGCCCACAACCAGGTGATTCAACAAAAGAGTTGTCCAAGAGCCAAAGACCACGTGTGGAAAGCTTCAGGAAGACATGGATTAATGCAGGTACAAGTGATGCACTCAAGCGCCATGGTATGTGTAGACTGCATGTAGTATTATCCACATCTGGTAAAAATATCATTTCAATAGCACCACTAGAAATATATTAACTGAAAAAAATAATGTTGTATGTTCAATACTTATCTCACACGCTGTAAGAGAGGGTAGGATTGTAGACCTACTGAGACTAAATTGAGAGCTTTGCTTT